TCGATATATTTACCTGTTAAAGAATTAAATATATTGTAATGGCCGCATTCAGCGCACACAACAGTTGAGGGATCGCTACTTCTACTAGCGCTCTTTTCTGGTGAATACGTTGTTGAGTGAGCGCTCGATACAATCTAACTTAACTTAACCCTAATTTCTGCTCAACACGTGTATGTGTATGTCAAATATGAACAATTTAAGTATTTTTTTACAATTCGTGGCTGATGATGGCCTAAATATTAATATTGTTCGTAATATTGTTGATAATCTTATTCAACCGTTGCCTGAGAATGATCTTCATGTTAGACAACGTCGAGCTGCAAAGCCTCGAAATGAGGAATATTTTGAATTAACAATTCCAACATACACGGACGATCAATTCAGGGAACATTTTCGAATGTCTCGAGTAACTTTTGAGGTATATGTTCTCCCGTAATTATATATTGCGATGTATATATACAATACATATAATATAACTCCCAACAGTTGCGTCGATGTAGCGTAAAAATGTTCGCTCGAAAACATGGCGTCCGCTACCGCAACATGTTGTGAGAGCGCTTCGGATCATAGACCATTCAGCGCATAAATCCACAACTGTTGTGTGCGCTGAGTGCGGCCAATGATATAATATATGGGCAATATGAGCCACACCGATCACAGGTGATTTAATAATACAATAGTTTATAATGTCATGTATATTGGTCAATCCGTTAACTACATCATAATATAAAAAAAGAGTAGGAGAAATACTTAGGTAGACAACACAACTAGAGCACTCTTAAAAATTCACAAGTTTCCTAACGTTTCCTTGAAAATATTAACCGATACCCGATGAAGTACCTGGTTTGGTTAGATACACTCTATACCAAGGCTACTAGGAAAGATGGACACACTAATTTTCTGCCCATCCACATAATATCGTCCACACGTCGTGCGTATTGTTCTTGCATTATCCGTCACTTCGACATGACTCATCGTTTTATGAACAAGATGATGTATTAAATGTTTCACATATCTGTATTCGCATTGCTGAAGAGGGTCACATACGATGACCGAAACGTTCAATTTTATATTATGATGTAGTTAACGGATTGACCAATATACATGACATTATAAACTATTGTATTATTAAATCACCTGTGATCGGTGTGGCTCATATTGCCCATATATTATATCATTACAACATATTTAATTCTTTAACACAGTTTTCATAACTGATACTTGTTTTTCGTGAGCCTTGAAAATTGTTTTATTTATTTCTAAATATTATATTTTTTTCAAACCTGTTGTGGCAGGGGCTCCAGCTGAGGTAAGGAGGAATAATAGTACAGTGGAGTAATTCGGATTTTTCATTATGCAGCGAGAAGAACCGCAATTATCCACGAGCCCGCTTTTCCGCGCAGCATTTATCAAGTGCGCAACGAGAAACGGCTGATTTCCCAGGTGTGCCCGCAACATCTACAAACGTGTATGGAAACGCAGTACTTTGCACACACCCGTGGAAACGTCGCGTAAACGTTTATAGTTACTCGCTTGATCCGCTGTACGCCGGCTCTCATCGCTCGTATATGATAGTACGAACTGTTCCCGCGACCAGGATTCATTGTTGGCTGTCGCTGAAAAGAGAACCGATCGCATTTTTACTTATATTTCTAGAAAGGAATGCTACACTCTAAGAAATATGGACCGTGAATTTTCACCAGTGCTGTGAAATGAACACCCGTACAGGTGTTTACATAATTCTCATCTCATCGACGTGAAATTAACATTGCCTGGTTAGTGTGGAAAACACACTGTCAACGTGAACGATCAGCAATGTGTACACATAGAGACTCTGTAATCGGAGACTGGCCCAAGAGAATTGCTCTAATTCCTACGAGTGAGAAAGAAACACACAGGCTATCTCACTTTCCTACGACCGTAGAATCGTAGAAGAGTGAGATAGCTTATGTTTCTTTCTTACTCTCAGGAATTTGGCCAACTCTCTTATGGCCAAGTCTCTGATTACAGAGTCTCTATATGTACACGTTGCTGACGAACTCTTTTATGACCAGTCTCTGATTACAGGGTCTCTGGTGTACATACACGATAGTCTAAACGTTGTAGCGATTGATTGTTCTATTACAGTTACATGTGGCCGTCACGGCGGTCACATCATATGTCGTGTAAATATATATATATATTTATAAAATATATATATAGCATCAAAGTTGACACCGCGTTTGTTGGCGTGAAAGATTTTCTACACTTTCGGTGTCATATTCACACCGAGTTATCTAACTACGTGGGTGTGGTGAAAGGTCACGCCACTGTTTTTTAGAGTGTAGCGATTAAACGGATACGGTTTGATAACAGTACAACAAAAAAAGACAAATTTTCTTAATACCACGTATCGAATTAACCAATCGCATTTTGGTAACTTCCGCCGTGCGCGAGGCGAAAATCATTAGACTACACGTCATTATCGGAAAAAGCTTTGCCTTGAAACGTTTCCAAACGTTTAACAGATCGCAAACGGTTAGAAAATTATTTCTCGGAATAAGCAACCGAAGAGAAATGACGGAAACGACCGGTCATCTCGGTCCATTTAGGCGCGTTAGCGGACCACAAGTGAAAAATGCGCTGCATCCTCTTACCTGGCGCGCCATAAGGTAATGGGCGCTTCGGAGATGCACACGTGGAAAACATTACCGACCATTACCTTGGAGCGAGCATAACGGCGTGGAGTTCCGTTGGTTCGCGTACGAAAGAATTATTATGCGAAAAGTTTCCGTGCTCCTCGGCTTCATCCCTGATGGACGATTAAAAGTTCCATCCGAGTCGAATTTACAAATTCCTTCGGGGGCCTCCTCGCCGGGCGTTGGCATTAGAGTTCGCTGGCCGTCCAGCGAAATTAAGCAGCCTCCTCCAAGTCGTTCCTCCTGCAAGTCGTTCAGGTCGGATTAGAATTTAAATCCGCAGGAACCATCCGCGTCTAATGATCTAATTTCACTTTATTGCGATCTTTTACGCGCCAAGACGCTCGACGCGTTATTTTTTTCATGTCTCAACAAAACAGCGATACAAATGTGAACCTACAATAAGCGATTGAGCTTGAAATTGTGCAATTAAACACTGTTCAAGGGATTAATCGCGTATGTTATCAAGCGTTTCGGAAACGTCACGACGTAGAAGTTTTCGGCGTTGCAGCGTGCAAGAAATTTTAAACAAATTATTATTTTTTTAGTTTTAAAAGAGAACAAGTTCGTTCAATTAGAGAAGGTGGTATTTTCGGTTTAACAAATAATTTGGATGCGGTTTATTGAATTAAAAAGAGTATACGAACTTTTGCACACAGAAATATTAATATCTGCAGACAGCCGGCCCGACCGAAAATGGCATCTACTTTAATTAATTGTAGGAATTTGAGCTTAATATTCCTATTTTTGTCGCTCGTTCGGTTGAAACTATCCGCTGTACTGTATTTGATTAGCATAAATCAAATTTCCATCGGATCGGCACAGAATTTAAAATCGAACAATATTTTGATGTAAAATTCGCATTTAGAATCTAATAGCAAATTAAATAGCCTGCGATGTATCTTTGTATGTACATACTTCAAGTATTGTGAAAGAGTTTTGAATTCTGTAAAGCCAATACGAAGATATTTGTGCCACACTACATGTCGATATCCAGCATCCCCTTAAAAAATGTTTTAAATATCTCTTGAAGTACTTTTTAGCCTAAAAATTTTCTGTACCCATTCGTATACACTGAGAAAAGTTTTCGGATAAACCAATTAAAAGTGTTTTCGATGGTTAATTGTCCCAATTAATTTTTCCGATTAAACTGTGTACATATCCGAGGGAATTTCATCGAAAAACCGATCATACTTTTCATCGGATATGTCCGTTTGTTATTATGTAATTGGATTATCCGATTATATTTAATCGGACATTTTTCTCAATGTACTAATGCAGATTAATTTTAATCTCATTGTCAGTTCAACTTACTTTACATCATTTTCTAGTTTTGAAAATTAGATAACGACAACAAGTAATTTAAGCCGAGATTGAAGTTAATTTGCATTGGTGCACTGAAAAAAAAATCTGATAGATTCAACCAGTCGTCTGTTATGTTGCCATGAAAGATATTTCATAACCAGAAGTTTCCTAGACTTCACTACACATCTGGTTGGAGGTTGGAGGTTGCCTTCGGCAAGGTTAGCAGCCTACCGAAGATGAAGTAAAACCAGAATGCCCAAAGTACCAGACCCGGTGAGAAATGATTCGTCGATCGACGTCGAAATGATGTCGAATCGACGTCAATTCGACGGTGTCGATGTCGATTCGACGTCGTTTCGACGTCGATCGACGAATCATTTCTCACTGGGGAACAAACCGGATAAAACATGCTTTAAGCCTAATACACGAGGAAGAAGAAGAAGAAGAATTCAAGAATTGAGCTCCTGCCCTAGCAGCACAGTGCAACGGCTAAACGGTTAAGGCCCGGTTTCACCAACGCGAGTTAATCTAATCGGTCGGTTAACTTTCAGGGTGCCAACATAAAACTGCTTTGTTAACCTAATTTCTTGGTATCAGTTTTATGTTCGGCTGTTGGCACCCTGAAAGTTAACCGACCGATTAGATTAACTCGCGTTGGTGAAACCGGGCCTAAGCCTATCACACAATGCCAGGCAACAGGCAACAGGAACAGGGAATAGAATTTCTGACGCGTTGGATTGGTTGGTAGAAAATTTCTGACAAATCCAACGCGTCAAAAATTCTATTCTCTATTCCTATTGCCTGTTGCCTGGCATTGTGTGATAGGCTTAACCGTTGGCCCAACGTAACCCAATATTGGGCCAATCTTCAAGCAACGTTCGTTGAATGCACTCTGCTACCAGGGTGAACCGGTTGGTTACCACATCGTGCACGTACAACGCGCGAAAGATCGCGATTTCTGACCTCACGGTGACACTCCGCCCAACGGTGCGCGTCGCACTCGATCGCGTCGATCGCGAAATTCCCCCTCGACACGCATCTCTTCTGTTAATCGCGAGGAAAGAAAATTCGTCCGAAGACGGTTGAGTAAGTCGAGTTGCGCGCGCCGCGCCGCCTCGCGCGACTTCGGCCGCGCTCGGCAACGTTCGCGCTCGGTCGGTCGAAGGGCCAACGAGCGCGCCATATCGGAAACGGCGGCTGCGGCGGCGGCGGCGGCGGTAGCGGCGGTAGCGGTATCGTAGTGTGCGTGTGCGCGTAGACGAACGCGGACGGAGAGGGCCGAGCGCGGCCGTTCGGCATTGATAACAGCGGGCGGCCCGCCGCGACAGTCGGAGCCGGTCGCTCGTCGTGCGAGCGTCGTGGAACGTTGGCGCGCTTTTCCGCCGCAGTACGAGAACGCGAGCTGTCAACCGCCGCGCGCCCGAAAAAAACTGTTCGCGCGCGCGCCGCCCTCCGAAAGTACTTCCGCCGCGGCTCGCGGTCGCCCCGCGCCGTTTACGTTTCCGCGTCTCTGTGCCCGCGAGTGCCCCGCGGTGTGTCCAAGTGGTGTGATCGCGCAGCGATGAGGGTCGTCGGCGGCGAGGCGAGAGATAGAGCCGCATCGTAATTCTGAGGCCGCCTACGTTCTTTCACGGCGCGGCACCAGCACCGGTGAGTACATACGATCCTTCTACCGTGCGCCCCCTCGCCCCCCCCCCGCGTTGAACGCGGCCGTGGGCACCTGCTGTCGGAGGCGATTTGCAAGGGAGCCCCCCCCCCTTCAACGTCGTCTCTCCTTAACGAGCTTTTCTTTCACGGTTGTAAAATTTATTGACCGTAGCGAGTGACGTCACATGTCATCTTTGCGCATCGGAGGCGCCTGAAGTTGGCGCCCATTGAAAGAGGCGCCGAGCGCCACCCGCGAGATTTCATTTTGCTCCTCGATAAGGGAGCATTTGTAATTCGCTCCCTCGCGCCTTCTTTCGCCGTGCCGTCCCCCCCCCCCCCCGCGCTAAGAGATATCGTCAACGTGCAACTTAACGCGGACGGTCGCCAGATTGGCTCGCGTACCGCAGTGCCTTCGTTCCGAAAGTGCCGACGCACGACCCTCGCTCGCCCGATGCGGAGCCGATTGATCGAGCGAATCCGCGACGAGAGTCAACCTGTCGCGCTCCGAAGGCGGAAGCTACGCGTTAACCCTCGCGACGCGCTCTTTTCTCTCTCTCTCTC